AAAATTTGGCCTTTAACGAATGCAGATACTTGTTTATAATCAGCAAGTCTTCAGTGTGTAGACTTGAAAATATATATGAAAGGACTTCAAAAAGTTCATACAAAAATTGAAAGAGAATGGAATTTTCCCACAGACTTTTGGAAGCCCCCTCATGTCTAAAATGACGAGTCACTGAAAACATTTACTTGTGTTCTACTGAAAGACTGGGCTCCTGGTGTGGCGCTGTGGACTAATGCAGTGGACTGCAAAATTCGTTTGAACCGCAAGGTCGGTGAGCCAAGCTCACTAGCCACTCCTTGGAAACCCCATACAGGGTTGCTATGGGTGAGAACCAACTCAATGGCACTTAACAACAAGAACAATTGAATGATTACCTTTATTTAAAGAATCCAACACATCATATGATCTGATCCTTTTGATGTAAAACCCAACATTCATTTGATATTTTTTGTTTGTCAGCCTGATTTTGAGACTGATTTGGAAATAAGTGTACTGCTGGAGAGATATTGCTAGTGTCCTAGCGGCAGAGAGACTGCATTCTCCAGAAGGTGCACAAATCACCTTTCTAGTTATGTGTAAACAGAGGGTTGGATAGATAAATTGGAGGCTCTGTGTAGAACCTGATGTGGCTTCTAAAAAGGGGAGACTCTTGTGCATTTCTGGATTCTGAAGGTTATGAATTGGGCTGCAAACCGCAAGGTCAGCAGTTCAAAACTACCAGCTGTACCACGGGAGAAAGATGAGGCTTTCTGCTCCCGAAAATATTTACACCCTCGGAAACCCTGTATAGGGTTGCTATGAGTCGGAACCGACTCCACGCACATCACTACCACCACCACCACCACCACCAAAGGACTCTAAAGAACAGGCCAGCATGGCTTGCTCAGTGGGCAGCATTGCCATCTCACTACCCCTAGTTCTTCTCAGACTTGCCACTCTTACTGTTTTATGTGGATAAACATGGGCCCTCAGAAGGAGACCTCTCATCTCTTGTGGCATGAAGGATGGAACAGCTTCCAGGATGTCTAGCATCAAGGAGCAGGGATTTGAATGTAAACTGTTCTAATTTAGGAATTCCTGCCTTGAGGTATTATTTCTTTGTCTTGAAGAGACCTTTCTTACTTTCATCGCTGGGGCAACCAGACTTGTAAGAAAAGCATGCATTTTCCTTGCTTTTGAAGAATACTTATTTTGTTGTTGTTGTTGTTAAGTGCCGTCGAGTCAGGTTCCAATCCATAGCAACCCTGTATAGGGTTTCTGCGGAGCAGCCGGTGAGCTTGAACTGCTAACCTTGCAGTTCAAATGGCTTTGCAGTCTGGCGCGTTAACCCACAGCGCCATACCAGGATTCTTATTAGGCTAATTTAAAATTAAGGTTGAACAGGTTTAATCTAAGATTCAAGGTTGACCACCTTTAATTTTGTGGAGTCATTTGGACTATCCTGAACTCTTGGTGCTAGAGGCAGAAGACATCCAAGATGAGTGCTTACAGATCATTTGAGCAAGTTGCTCACTTCAAGTTACAACCAAAGGGGTAGAGTTGGATTCTGCTCTCATCTCATGGCCTTGATGGGCCTAACAGTGGCACTGAAGGATAAACACTGAACTGCTAACTGCAGGGTCGATGGTTTAAACCCACCAGCCGCTTCTCAGAAACCCTGTACAAGATACTATAAATCGGAACTGACTCAGTGGCACCTACCAACAAAAATAACATGAAATGAAGAGGGTTGTGGAGTAGATGATTCCTAAGGATCTTCTAGCTCTTCTGCACAAGACCTTTGGAAAGTGTACAAGAGCAAAGATGTCAGTTTGAGGAGTAAGGTGCAATTGACCCAAGCCATGCTATTTTCAATAGCCTCATATGTAAGTAAAAGTTGGACAGTGAATAAGGAAGACGATAGAAGAACTGATACATTTGCGTTATGGTGTTAGAGAAAAATATTAAAAGAACCATTGACTGCTAGTAGAACAAACAAATCTGTGTTGAAAGAAGTATAGCCACAATGCTCCTTAGAAGCCAGGATGGTGAGACTTTGTCTAAAATACATGCTAGGTATAGTGTGATGGATGGGTTATTTGCCCCCACACTGACAAGTCCTACCAAAATCACTTTACCTGTGCCCTGGGTATAAACAGAGGCAGGTTTACCTGGAAGTTAATAAGTTTAGGCTTCAGTGGTCTCCCTTTGCAGGGGCCCCAGTCCAAGGCCCTGTGCCTGCCTAGTATTTTGTCTTAATAATCTGGCATTCTTGATCTCAAAGAGCTTCCTTCAAATTACTTAAGATTCAGACCTCACAAAACCTGGAACATGAGATCCACTTTGAAGTATAATTGAAGACTATTCTCAGTGGTGCTTCTAACTGAGATGGCCAACAGTAAATCACTGTGATGAAGCATTATGACTCCTTTTAAAAATGTCTCTCTATAGACTTGGAATCCAAATCTAGTTAATTGTGGATAAACATTCAGTATATATGATTTTACATATCACTTGGGATTAGCAGAATCAAATGATTTGAAAGACAGATATGTCTCAGAATCTACCAGAATGCCACTTTAAAAAGACATTTGGGAAGATACATTGTACAAAAATGCATGCTTTTTTACTTATGAGACAAATGTTTTGGAATATCTGAAGTACGCAGAATACTAGGATAGTGGAAAATTGAAGCTAGGAAACTTGTCATTCAGGTGTATGTTGAAAGCTTTATGGATGCATGTGCGTTACCCAGTGAAATGAGATTTAAAGTTGGATCCTAAAACCAGTGTATCCAAAAAGATATAGGTAGTGTTAGGTGTCAGCTGTGATGGAAGCTAAGCAGTTCTCGGCTTTTATACACTAGATGGCACTCTAGGTGCAGAGGAAAGCTCTAAATTGAGTCTTTTGTTCCTGCTATTGCAAAAATTAATTTGTTGAGAAAACAACTGTGTTATGAAACCTGTAATTTTTTTGGAGGTGTATAATGCATTCTTAATTACTTTACAGTTCAAATGTGCCCTCTTTTGGTTTCACTACTCAGATTAGTGTGTGCAATTGTATGTATATATCGCCTGTTATAAAGAACTGATCATGCCTTAGTTTTCTGTTAATCTCATAGAACTCTCCCTGTGGTCCCTATTGTCCTCTCCCTTAAACCAATCAGAGTACCAGTCAGTGCTGTATTTGATGTGTAATGGTTAGCAATGAGTCTATTACAGGTCTACCTAATGTTAAGATTTGGCTTCCTCTTCATTGCTAAGACTTCTTTTCAATCCCCATGAAAATAGCCCTAGGAGAGGCTTGCCTTCTGTACCTGAGAGTTGCTTCTGTTCCTGAGGATTAGTTGTCCCCTTTCCTGAGCCAGTGAGAAATTCTTGATGACATTCTCTTTGCCAACATCCCTCTTGTGAGTTTCCGTTAGGATTGAACCACTACTCTTGGGAATTTCAAACATTAAGAAGTGCAAAAACTTATCTTAGTTCATAGGCCATACAAAAAGAGGTGGTGGGTGGATTTGGCCTGCAAGCCATAGTTTGCCAACTCCTGGTATAGAGGTCTCAATGATTTATAACTGTTTTCCAAAATGCTATTGCCACTTAATGGGATTTCACACCTGGACTACTAGAATGCCTAGTAAAGCTGAAAATATTTCCAAATAAAAGTTAAATGGCTTCAAATCCTTAGACTTTTGATCAATCAACAAAAACCTCTCTATTTGTAAAGAGTTGGGTTGCATTGGATGGCAAATTGATGCACATTTCCTCTTAATAATACATTGAGCATGGAACAGGAAATATTTGCTTATGTGGAATTCTGTTTATTCATGAATGGAAATACCTATGGTATACTCAACCCTGAGAAGAAGTAGAAAGTGGAGTTCATGGTTTTGGTTTGCTTTTAGGCAAGATCTGGCTATCTCCTTTGCCATTTGTGATGGAGCAAAGACAGTGGCGTAGGTAGGTCAGATCAACATGTTATTTGCTTTGATGAGTACATTTGTATCGCAGAGATGTTCAGTCGCCTCACAGATGAGCACCTAGAAGCTCCTAGACAGGTACCAATATGACACTAGCTCTCTCTTCATCCCTCTTTCCTGTAAGTAATGGATAACAAGTAAATAAATTATCCACAAACAAATAAAATCAATAATATCCTGGTGTGGCTCTGTGGGCTAATGTGTCAGACTGCAAAGTCATTTGAACTGCAAGGTTGGTGGTTCAAGCTCATTAGCTGCTCCTTGGAAACCCTGTACAGTGTTGCTATGGGTTGGAATCGACTTGACAGCACTTAACAACAACAACAGCACTACTTAGCCTATATTATCCCTTCGAACTAGTAGGCATCTGGCTATTTAAAAATATTTTTTCATCACCTTTTAGTACATCTGCAGTGTGTCTCTCTTTTATTTTGGCAGTAACAAGAACAACCAGGGGCAATGATTGATGAGAAGAAATTTCTCTCTCCCCCTCCCCAATGAGATAGTGAAGTGTCACCACTTAGAGTTGAAAAAGATGTAAGGAGAGGGTAATGTGCACAGGGGGCAACGACTGAGCTCATGGGGAAGGGTAAAGGTGAATTAGTCAGGAGTCTGCCCTATTTGGAAAATAATTTTATTAGTGAGTATTGACAGAAGATAGTAGAAGACCAAATTACAGGTTAAAATGTGGAATGGTAGCGTAAAGTTTCAGGTTTGCATTTTCATATCATTGGAAAAATCAGGGAAGAACAAAAAAATATTCAGAAACCGGATGTGATGACAAAAAATAAACATTTACTTATTCGACATAGTTCCCTTTTTTCCCCGACTAGTGATGATTATTGAGTGAATTGTGTTTTTTAATAAACATGATTGAATCTACTCTCATGGGATTTTGCTGTGTTTTATTGAAATAATTTAAAATAGTCTACAAAAATCTCCATGTTCATCTTGAAAAAATAATAGACCTTTCAAAACAGCCATAATCAGGGCCAAAAAAAAAAAAAATATTGATGTTTGGTTTGTCTTTGTTTTGTTACAGAGAACTTTACCTCTATTCCATGCAAGCCTCCACCTCTTCCAAAAATAGAAAGGAAATTTCCACCTTATACTGGCTTTGGTTCTGAAGAGGATTCTCTCCGTTCCTGCATCAGTCTTCGGCCCACACCTGTTTGCAGAAACTTTAGGAAGTTTGCGGAAAAAGACAGGTGCTTGAAGGGAACCATGATTGTAGTCTAATCTTTCTCAAATTAGTTTGGGTTTACAGTAAGTCCTCATGATAAAGCAGATATCACTCCACTCACATAATTTACAATCCAGGGAAACATTGTTAGAGCTTTATGACAAAGGTGATTAACTTCCAAGTTATCACTACATTTTTCCAAGAGTGCTTATTAGAATAACTGTCATCTGCAAACCCCCAAAGCCATAACATATACCGAATCTAGATTGCCATTCCCCTTAGATGGTCTATAAGAAAAGCTATAGAGCATGGCTCAGCAAACGTTCTTGAGGCACTAGATAGTAAATATTTTCATTTTTGCAGGACATACAGTCTCTGTCACAATGACTCAACTCTGCTCTTATAGCAAGAAAGCAACCAGAGATAGTATGTAAATAAATAGGTGACTAGAGTCGGAACCGACATCACGGCACATAACCACCACCACCACCAGGGTTCAATCAAAATCTCTTTATGGACACTGACATTTGGATTTTTTTTTTATCATTTTTGCATATTTTAAAATATTATTATTTTGATTTTTTTCAATCATTAAAAAAATGTAACAACGTTTTTTGGTTCACAGATCATACACAAAGAGGTAATGGGCTAGATTTGGCACACAAACTGTAGTTTGCCAACCTATGATATGGAGGTTTCAATGACTTATTTTTGTTTTCCTAAATGTTGTTTGGTAACTAGTGATGTGGCTTTGTTTTGAGAGGTTCGCTTGAGTTTAGTCACCATAAATTGCTCACATGGCTAAATATAGTTTCAGAAGATAGACTCTCAAAAATATTTGTACTATGTATGAAGAAAAATCCATCCCAAATCATGAAACTCGAATGTGAGCACTACCCATGGCTACTTTTTGCTTCTGCTGAGAGAGCAGGCTATGGTTAAAGCAGTGGTGGGGCAGTATTGCAAATGCTTGAAGAGGAGGATGTGGGTTGAAATGTGAAGTTCTGTGTGAGGGAAATAATGGGTCCGGAGAATCTGGGGAGGAAAAATGACAAAGGGAAAATGTTCTAAGACTAGGAAAAGAAAGAGCTGGCATCCTGAATTTGATAAAATTCAATGGAATCAGATGCTGTGAGAGAACATTTAATGAAAGTAGAGAACAATAATTCTTGTATATCCGTAAAAATGGTGAGCATACATTATTGTTAAGAGTTGTACAGAACGCGTAAAAGATTTTCTTTGTCATGGCATGATGTCCTGTCTTTCAAGAAACACTCTCTTATTGTTAAGGATTTTAGAGGTTTATTTTTAAGTTTTCGAGTCAGTTCTCCTCCAAAGTCTGATCCCCAGACCAGAAGCATCAACATCATGCCGGGGCTAGTTAGAAATGCTGTGTGCCTCACTCCCAAATTCACTGCTGTGGGATCAATTCCTACTCATTGTGACCCCGTAGAGTAGAATACATCTGCCCCATAGTGTTTCAAAGGCTATAATTTTTATAGAAGCAGACTACTACATCTTTGTCTTGTGGAGTGGCTGGTAGGTTTGAACCGGTTACCTTTAGGATTAACAGTGGAGCCCTTAACCACTGCGTCACCAGGACTCCTTTACCGCAGACCTACTGAGTTAAAGATTTCTGTGCTTTCACAAGCCCTTCACGGGATTCTGATGTTCACCAGTGCTTGAGAACCACTGATTTAAATTATATAAAAGACAAATCAACTTATACTTCATTCTTCCCTATAGATAACAGTGTTTATAATGATGTTCCAGGGCAAAACTTTGGATGGATACTTTTCACTACCTGCAGGGAATTCACCCAAAGGAGGTGGGCAGCAAGAATGTCCCTCTTGTAAAAAGAGAGGGGATTTTTCTTATAAGTAGACAAGATGAACTGTTAATCCAGGATGTTGCTTCTAGAACCCAGGGGAAAACAGTTCTTTGAGTGTAGTTGAGTTACTCTCTCTGTCTGTCTACATTGTGGAAACATCTACAGAACACTGATTACAGACAGCATTCTACATCCTTGCATACTGTCATGGCTGAAGGATGGAACCCTAGGCATGAATGTCTCTAATTTTGTTTCTTCCTGTCCACTTGCTTATTCTGTGCCAGGAATATACTTCCCTCAAGCTCCTCCTACACAGTGACTTTGTTTCCATAGTAACAGGCACATTCAGCTGAAGACTTATACATCAGTGAGAATAACCCTAGATTTAAATACTGTGAGAACCTGAGGAAGATGATCTCATAAAGCAAATGAAGAACAGCTACTTCATGCAAAAGAAAACGAAAAACAAAAAACTGCGAAGTGAGACGTGGAATTTTACACTGATTATTCATTGGCTATTAAAAACTAATGGGTGCTAATTATTTTGTAAGGCTAATGATGTTATAAGGCCTTGGAGGGAATAGTTTCAAATGAACGCATATGAAGTTTATCATGCACATGAAGACTTTCTGTATTATCTGGGTAAGCATCATGGTGCTGGCCTGTTGAGATTTCTGGGAGAACCAGAATAATAGCTCTCTTACCGTGTCAGACTGAATTAGTTTCTTCTTCCTCTGTGTGTCCAAATACTCTGCTGATCATACATTAATAAGAATAAGAAGTAATATAGCAGACTGTGTGCTGATTACCTTGTTAATGCTGTTGGGTGTTGTAAAGTCTGTTCTAACTCAGCAACAGAATGGCCAGGCCTTCACCATCCTCAGAACCGTTGCAGTCACTGTGTCAGTCCATCTCTTTGAGGGTTTTCCTCTTTTTTCAGTGACTCTCTACTTTGCCAAGCATGATGTCTATCTCCAGGGACTAGAGACATGAGACAAAATCACACTGTCCTCCCTTCTAAGGGGCATTCTGATTGTACTTCTTCAAAAGCAAATTTGTTTGTTCTTCCAGAAGTCCATGGTGCTTTCAATTGTCATCCAAACACCATAATTCAAATTCTGGTGTTCCTTATTCATTGTCTGGCTTTTACATACATAGGAGGCAATTGAAAAAACCATGGCTTTGGTTGGGTGCACCTTAGTTCTCAAAATGACACCTTTGTTTGTTATTTTTGAATACTTTAAAGAAGTCTTTTGCCGCAGATTTGCCCTTCATTTCTTGACTTGCTTTCATGGATATTGGTTGTGGGGCCAAGTAAAATGTAATCCTTGAAAACTTCAATCTTTGTTTATAACGATGTTGCTTGTTGGTCCAATTGTGAGGAGTTTTGTTTTCTTTATGTAGTCTTTGGTCTTCATCAGTAAGTGCTTCAAGTTCTCTTCCCTTTCAGCAGCAAGGTTGTTAATGTGTGTTCCTCTAATACTGATGCTACATTTCTTCTTCATATAGTCCAGCTTCTCTGATTATTTACTCAGCATACAGATTGACTAAATATGGTGAAAGGATACGGCCATGACACACACCTTTTCTGATTTTAAACCAGGCAAGATCCTCTTGTTCTATTACAACAACTAGCTGCTGGTCTATGTACAGGTTCTACATGAGCACAATGAAGATTTTGGAATTCTCATTTTTCACCATGTCATCCATTATTTGTTATGATCCACAGACTTGAATGCCTGTACATAGTCAATAAAACACAGGTAAACGTCTTTCTGGTATTCTCTGCTTTCAGCAGTGAGATCGCTTAATTCCACGTCCTCTTTTGAATTCAGCATGATTTTCTAGTTGAACACCAATCAGCTGTGCATCAACATCCCTCTTGATGTACTGCTAAAATCATTTTAAGTTATCGTCAGCATAATTTTACTTGCGTGCAATGGTAATGATATTGCTTGGCAATGTTTGCATTAACAACACCGTTGGTCACCTTTCTCGGGAATGGGCACATGTATGTCTCTCTTCTAATCAGTTCTCCTAGTAGCTGTCTTCCAAATTATTGGCATAGGTAAGTAAGCACTACCAGTGTTACATCCATTTGTTGAAACATCTCAGTTGGTATGATATTAATATCCGAAGCCATGTTTTTGACCAGTGCTTTCAGTGCAACTTGGGCTTCTTCCTTTAGTACCATTGGTTACACTACTTCCTAAAATGGCTGAATGTCACCAATCCTGCCATCTTATGTTGATGCTTCCTGACTAGTTCAATTTTTGCCCATAGGTTCTTCTGTATTACAACTTGAGGCTTGAGGTTTCCAGTAGATATATAGCCCTGGGTGAACCATTATTTTTCTTATGTAATAGATATTACTGAGTACCTGCTGAGTGTCAATCAGTTATCTAGATGCTTAGTGAACAAAATGGATACAAAGCCGTACCCTCATTCTAGTTGGGAGAGGCCAACAATCAACAATAAAGATCAAATCTAAGTAAGTTATATAGTATACATTGTTGTTATTGTTAAGTGCTGTCAAGTTGGTCCTAACTCATTGCAACCCTGTATATGATTTCCAAGGAGCAGCTGGTGGGTTTGAACCACCAACCTTGTGGCTTACAGTCCAGTGCTTTTCCTACAGTGCCACATAATGAGTCCTAATAAAAGATGTTAAATATTATTGAAAATATAAAGAAGCTATTTAGTTGTTGTATAATAACAAGGGGAGTTCTGGGGATGGGGATGAGAAACACAGATTGTAATTTTAAATAGTGTGTTTGCAGTAGACATTACTGATGAAGGGAAACATGTTCCAAACAAAAGGAACAGTCAGTACAAAGACTGAACAAGGAGCATGCCTTAGGATGTGTGAGGCACCAGCAAGGTGGCCAACATGGGTAGAGTAGATGAATGAGGGGCAGAATAAACAGATGAGATAAGGTAGTGAATGAGGGTTCCTATCACATAGGGTCTTATAAGCCATTTTAAGGACTCTGTTTAACTTGAATGATATGGGAAGCCACTGGGAGATTTGGGCAGAGGTATAACTTGATCTGATTAACATTTTAAAAGAATTCCTCCAGACACAGTGTTGCAAGTAGACTGTACAAAGCAATGATGGAAGTAATACAGAGCAACCAATAGGTGACTACTGAGGAGTTCTGGTATGGGTTGCAGGATAAAACACTAGGTCGGTT